TTGTGAAGTTCATTTAGAATGAAGGAGCGCGCTTTCGACGGTGGAATCAAACGTTATCCAAAAACTAAGCAACCATTGTGTATCATCAGCTCAATCTTCGAAGCCCGAAAGGTTTCAAATCGGCCGGAATTCTACTAGACCAGCCCAGTTTCGTAAAACATTTCACGGAGGCTAGTTTGGGATCCCGCTCGGTCCATCGACGTATGACATGACTTGTCAAATGGGTAGGGTCGAGGTACTGCATCAAATGAACTAACTTCACCGGTTCATCTACTGGCCCTGCGGGGGTCGCGTGCGGTAACCGACTCAGGGCATCCGCCGTACAATTGTAAGAGCCTGGGACATAATATATTTTGTATTAAATGCATTAAGGATTAGAGTCCATGGTTGCATTCTAGGTAAAGACAAGGGATAGGTCCCCTTGGATTCATCTAATAAGGATATCAACGGTTTGTGATCAGTTTGGATCTCAAAATGACTGCCTCTATACTGGTGAGGATTTTTGGCACCAAAGACAACTGATGGGGCCATTCGATCAACTTGTGAGTAATATTTTAGCAGGTTGTAAGACACGCAATCCGAAATAACCGGATAAATTGCACCATTCTGCATTTTATGACACATAACCGCTTCACCTCCGTGTGGAAAAGCATCACACGGAATGATCAACGGATATTTTTCTATCGTAGTGAACTAAAACTGGCGCTGATGCTAGACAGCTTTTAGCACGAATGGAAGCGGACAGATGCTCGGCATTCCACACTCTCGGAGTGTTTTCGGGTAGCAGCGTGTTCAAAGGAGCTAAACTAGTTGATGTTCCGATAAGAATCCACGATAGTTTGATAATATTCCTAAGAATGAACGGAGTTCATCAGCACGCTTAGGTTGCGATGCCTGTGGAATTGGGGATAGTTTAACCTCCAAAACATGTAGATCACTCTTATCAAATTTGTAGTCAAGATAACAAACAGATTCAGACAAAAACTCACGTTTATATTTCTTCAGTTTCAATCCATTCTTTTCCAAATGTGCCAACACCATCCGAAATGTCTTTAAATGTACAGCATCACTTCGGCCAGAAACCAGGATATCATCCAAATAAGCACAAATAAAGGGTTTTTCCTTTACGATGTTATCCACAATCCGTTAGAAGATACTGGAGGCAGAGCTTATTCAGAAAGGAAGACGGGTATACTGAAATAGTCCAAGATGTGTAGTTGTGGTGGTTAATTCGCGTGAATCCATATCAAGTTCAACTTGAGAATATGCGTGACTAAGATCAAGATTAGAACATTTTTGATCACCGTATAACATAGCGTACAAATCTGCGATGCGTAGCAAAGGATACCTTTCCATCTTGGTAGCTTGATTGAAAGTTAACTTCTAGTCTCCACAGATACGAACGGTACCTTTGGATCTGAGTACAGGAACAATTGGGGTACCCCAATCCGAGTGTTGTACGGGCATGATTACGCCTTGGGATTGCAGCCTTTGTACTTCGACTTCAAGTTTGGGACGCACAGTGTACGGTAAGGTTAATGCTTTGTAAAACTCGACATTGGTTTTATCCCGGAAACTGATAGAAGCTTTGAAACGTTTTCGTTTTCTAAACTTATTTTCGAATAAAGAAGAAAATTGGTTCAACAGATCGTTCAGACTACTGTCATTGATCACGCCCTTATTAACCTGCATCCTTTCTGGGAAGTATCGAATCCAATTCCTGCACAACAGATTGGGTCTTTTCCCAGATACCATGCTCCAAGATATAGTTAATTCCCGCTCGTTGTACCTGACTTTAACCATGCCCTTTCCCAAGACCCTAATCGGATCTCCCGTGATGGGTTGCAATTTGGAGCCACATGGTTGTAAGAGCGGCAGGCTCTTAATTCAACCAATGTTTCTAATGGTAACTGCAGCCACAGTATCCAGTTCTAAAGCGAACGGTTCATTCCCGAAGATCAAGCGAATGGTATATGGAAAGCACCTGTTGGGTGATACGGTATTGAAGTACCTGGAATTTAGCTAGTTGTCTGGGTTTTCCAGAACCTTGTTCTTTGGAAGACTGCAGCTTATTATACCGCCTCGATCGAGTGAGATTAGTAGGTGGGGCGGGTTCCGATCAGCACACGCGGGCTAGATGGCCTATTTTACCACATTTTCGGCAGATGCTTTCTTTGTGGCATCACTCAGCGGCACCAGCATGCTGCATCCCGCAGCGATATCAAACGACCTGTTTTCGCGGTACACCTGCAGTCTGTGGTTTCGTAACTGCGTGAACAACATCCCCTACTGGATGGACAGTGAATTCCCCTATCTGGTGCGAAATATTCTCCCTTTGGCGAACGATTAGATAAGCATTCTCCCACGTGGCATCTGACTCGTTCAAAGATAACAATATTCCCCGTGCACTTTCATCCAGAATTCCTGCAAGTAAGCACTGTGTTTTCATTTCTTCCTCAACTTTGTCGGGCGGAATCGCATTGTATTTACACTCGGGAATAAACTGATGCATGTGCGCAATGAATTCGTTGATGCTCTCCTTCGGTTTCTGTACAACATTTAAAAAGCAGTATCTCGCAGTATGCACTTAGTGTTTCAAAGCTCACAGTGGGGTATATTTATCTCAGGCCCATGTAATATTGTTAGAAGTTTCTATGTGTAATGCATCATAATGTCGCTGGCCTTCATCTTCCGGCACTTGTCTGAATAGTCTTATTTTGTGGGACTCTGAAAGTGAAATCATAGGATTCAAAACAGGCAGTAGTTCCAGGTAGTGAAGAAATGATTTCTTCCACCTCATCCAGTTTGGTTACGTCAGTTTGTCCTCAGCGGAAGACCAAAAGTTAGCAGGTGGATTAATGATAGGTTCATTTTGGTCCCGTCGCCAATAATACTTAGTAACGAATTCAAACAAATCACACCCCAAAACAGCAGTTAGGCAAGAATAAGACACAGTACAAAACAGAGTGTATCGGGCGAAAGACTGCAACATGGCTCACATGACACACGAGTTATAGCGTGGAGTGAGGAACTATTGATTGGGCAATGCGAGGAAAACCAATAAGAACGCGGTGTGGATGACCTAACTAATCGATATCATCGACGGATGTAACCTGCAGAACCTAAGATGACACTCGCAAATGTTCGTTCGCATTTACAGGCGGAGTTCGCGGTTGAGGTCAGCACCAGTACCGTCGCCAGATAATTAGACGGTCGACTAATAACCTTTGCGTTTGCACGCAATTTCAAGATTCCATGAACCCGCTGGATAACAAAAGATGGCGGAAATCGTTTGTCTTGCGGCTCCTGTATTATCAGGCCGATATGCGGCAACCCGTGTGGATCGATGAGACAACCTTTTGCGCGCTCACCGGCGGTCGTTTGCGACGGGCGGTTAGAGCTTAGTTTACTGTTGCCAATAGTCGTGGCAAGTTTGTACGTGTCGTTGGCGCCATGACGAACGATTCCGTGATGGCTTTTATGTTTTACACGGAAGCTACAACAAACGAAGCTTCGCTCAGTAGCGACAGTAAGTGCTAAAAGCCAATGGCCAGGCTTTTATCAATAGGTGCCTATTGATAGGCTGAAACGCGCCATGCCACACAGACCTGGATGGCGTATTCCGAGAAGAACAATACTACTTAAGGATGCTTCTGCATCTTGCCCATACTCCCAAGCGCTGAACCCTATCGAGGGCCTTTGGGGTGTTATAAAGTCATATGTGGAGCGCAATCTGAGGAGCATATACCCAGAAATGCTCGGAGGGGATCCCAACTCTCTCCTCAGCAAAAGTGAATGGTGAGTAGAATATCTGCAGAAGGTGTTCTCCGAAACACGCAACTGTTTGATACAGCAGCACTGTTCGCAGATGGTACAACATGTGGAGAGCAATTGCGATCGTATTATAAACATGTCCGCTTTAGAAACCATGCGCCTTGGATACATATGTTTTGTAAATAGAATTGCTGTTTCTTACTTCCTCGCCAGGAGAGTTCATAGAGCATCACATGTTCCGCTTGCATCGTCTTGCGGTCGTTACAGGTATAATCGGCGTGGGGGCGACTGGGTATAGGCTGGGCTATTGGCCGGTGGGGGGGGGGGGGGGGGGGGGGGGGGGGGGGGGGGTGGGGGGGGGGGGGGGGGGGGGGGGGGGGGGGGGGGGGGGGGGGGGGGGGGGGGGGGGGGGGGGGGGGGGGGGGGGGGGGGGGGGGGGGGGGGGGGGGGGGGGGGGGGGGGGGGGGGGGGGGGGGGGGGGGGGGGGGGGGGGGGGGGGGGGGGGGGGGGGGGGGGGGGGGGGGGGGGGGGGGGGGGGGGGGGGGGGGGGGGGGGGGGGGGGGGGGGGGGGGGGGGGGGGGGGGGGGGGGGGGGGGGGGGGGGGGGGTGGGGGGGGGGGGGGGGGGGGGGGGGGGGGGGGGGGGGGGGGGGGGGGGGGGGGGGGGGGGGGGGGGGGGGGGGGGGGGGGGGGGGGGGGGGGGGGGGGGGGGGGGGGGGGGGGGGGGGGGGGGGGGGGGGGGGGGGGGGGGGGGGGGGGGGGGGGGGGGGGGGGGGGGGGGGGGGGGGGGGGGGGGGGGGGGGGGGGGGGGGGGGGGGGGGGGGGGGGGGGGGGGGGGGGGGGGGGGGGGGGGGGGGGGGGGGGGGGGGGGGGGGGGGGGGGGGGGGGGGGGGGGGGGGGGGGGGGGGGGGGGGGGGGGGGGGTGGGGGGGGGGGGGGGGGGGGGGGGGGGGGGGGGGGGGGGGGGGGGGGGGGGGGGGGGGGGGGGTGGGGGGGGGGGGGGGGGGGGGGGGGGGGGGGGGGGGGGGGGGGGGGGGGGGGGGGGGGGGGGGGGGGGGGGGGGGGGGGGGGGGGGGGGGGGGGGGGGGGGGGGGGGGGGGGGGGGGGGGGGGGGGGGGGGGGGGGGGGGGGGGGGGGGGGGGGGGGGGGGGGGGGGGGGGGGGGGGGGGGGGGGGGGGGGGGGGGGGGGGTGGGGGGGGGGGGGGGGGGGGGGGGGGGGGGGGGGGGGGGGGGGGGGGGGGGGGGGGGGGGGGGGGGGGGGGGGGGGGGGGGGGGGGGGGGGGGGGGGGGGGGGGGGGGGGGGGGGGGGGGGGGGGGGGGGGGGGGGGGGGGGGGGGGGTGGGGGGGGGGGGGGGGGGGGGGGGGGGGGGGGGGGGGGGGGGGGGGGGGGGGGGGGGGGGGGGGGGGGGGGGGGGGGGGGGGGGGGGGGGGGGGGGGGGGGGGGGGGGGGGGGGGGGGGGGGGGGGGGGGGGGGGGGGGGGGGGGGGGGGGGGGGGGGGGGGGAGGGGGGGGGGGGGGGGGGGGGGGGGGGGGGGGGGGGGGGGGGGGGGGGGGGGGGGGGGGGGGGGGGGGGGGGGGGGGGGGGGGGGGGGGGGGGGGGGGGGGGGGGGGGGGGGGGGGGGGGGGGGGGGGGGGGGGGGGGGGGGGGGGGGGGGGGGGGGGGGGGGGGGGGGGGGGGGGGGGGGGGGGGGGGGGGGGGGGGGGGGGGGGGGGGGGGGGGGGGGGGGGGGGGGGGGGGGGGGGGGGGGGGGGGGGGAGGGGGGGGGGGGGGGGGGGGGGGGGGGGGGGGGGGGGGGGGGGGGGGGGGGGGGGGGGGGGGGGGGGGGGGGGGGGGGGGGGGGGGGGGGGGGGGGGGGGGGGGGGGGGGGGGGGGGGGGGGGGGGGGGGGGGGGGGGGGGGGGGGGGGGGGGGGGGGGGGGGGGGGGGGGGGGGGGGGGGGGGGGGGGGGGGGGGGGGGGGGGGGGGTGGGGGGGGGGGGGGGGGGGGGGGGGGGGGGGGGGGGGGGGGGGGGGGGGGGGGGGGGGGGGGGGGGGGGGGGGGGGGGGGGGGGGGGGGGGGGGGGGGGGTGGGGGGGGGGGGGGGGGGGGGGGGGGGGGGGGGGGGGGGGGGGGGCGGGGGGGGGGGGGGGGGGGGGGGGGGGGGGGGGGGGGGGGGGGGGGGGGGGGGGGGGGGGGGGGGGGGGGGGGGGGGGGGGGGGGGGGGGGGGGGGGGGGGGGGGGGTGGGGGGGGGGGGGGGGGGGGGGGGGGGGGGGGGGGGGGGGGGGGGGGGGGGGGGGGGGGGGGGGGGGGGGGGGGGGGGGGGGGGGGGGGGGGGGGGGGGGGGGGGGGGGGGGGGGGGAGGGGGGGGGGGGGGGGGGGGGGGGGGGGGGGGGGGGGGGGGGGGGGGGGGGGGGGGGGGGGGGGGGGGGGGGGGGGGGGGGGGGGGGGGGGGGGGGGGGGGGGGGGGGGGGGGGGGGGTGGGGGGGGGGGGGGGGGGGGGGGGGGGGGGGGGGGGGGGGGGGGGGGGGGGGGGGGGGGGGGGGGGGGGGGGGGGGAGGGGGGGGGGGGGGGGGGGGGGGGGGGGGGGGGGGGGGGGGGGGGGGGGGGGGGGGGGGGGGGGGGGGGGGGGGGGGGGGGGGGGGGGGGGGGGGGGGGGGGGGGGGGGGGGGGGGGGGGGGGGGGGGGGGGGGGGGGGGGGGGGGGGGGGGGGGGGGGGGGGGGGGGGGGGGGGGGGGGGGGGGGGGGGGGGGGGGGGGGGGGGGGGGGGGGGGGGGGGGGGGGGGGGGGGGGGGGGGGGGGGGGGGGGGGGGGGGGGGGGGGGGGGGGGGGGGGGGGGGGGGGGGGGGGGGTGGGGGGGGGGGGGGGGGGGGGGGGGGGGGGGGGGGGGGGGGGGGGGGGGGTGGGGGGGGGGGGGGGGGGGGGGGGGGGGGGGGGGGGGGGGGGGGGGGGGGGGGGGGGGGGGGGGGGGGGGGGGGGGGGGGGGGGGGGGGGAGGGGGGGGGGGGGGGGGGGGGGGGGGGGGGGGGGGGGGGGGGGGGGGGGGGGGGGGGGGGGGGGGGGGGGGGGGGGGGGGGGGGGGGGGGGGGGGGGGGGGGGGGGGGGGGGGGGGGGGGGGGGGGGGGGGGGGGGGGGGGGGGGTGGGGGGGGGGGGGGGGGGGGGGGGGGGGGGGGGGGGGGGGGGGGGGGGGGGGGGGGGGGGGGGGGGGGGGGGGGGGGGGGGGGGGGGGGGGGGGGGGGGGGGGGGGGGGGGGGGGGGGGGGGGTGGGGGGGGGGGGGGGGGGGGGGGGGGGGGGGGGGGGGGGGGGGGGGGGGGGGGGGGGGGGGGGGTGGGGGGGGGGGGGGGGGGGGGGGGGGGGGGGGGGGGGGGGGGGGGGGGGGGGGGGGGGGGGGGGGGGGGGGGGGGGGGGGGGGGGGGGGGGGGGGGGGGGGGGGGGGTGGGGGGGGGGGGGGGGGGGGGGGGGGGGGGGGGGGGGGGGGGGGGGGGGGGGGGGGGGGGGGGGGGGGGGGGGGGGGGGGGGGGGGGGGGGGGGGGGGGGGGGGGGGGGGGGGGGGGGGGGGGGGGGGGGGGGGGGGGGGGGGGGGGGGGGGGGGGTGGGGGGGGGGGGGGGGGGGGGGGGGGGGGGGGGGGGGGGGGGGGGGGGGGGGGGGGGGGGGGGGGGGGGGGGGGGGGGGGGGGGGGGGTGGGGGGGGGGGGGGGGGGGGGGGGGTGGGGGGGGGGGGGGGGGGGGGGGGGGGGCGGGGGGGGGGGGGGGGGGGGGGGGGGGTGGGGGGGGGGGTGGGGGGGGGGGGGGTGGGGGGGGGGGGGGGTGGGGGGTGGGGGGGTTTGTTGTGTGTTGTTTGTTTGTTGTGTTGTTTTGTGTTTTTTGTGTTTGTTTTTTGGTTGTTTGTGTTTTGGGTTTTGTTTCTTTTGTTTTTGTTTTTGGTTTGTTTTTTTTGCTTTTGTTTTTTGTTTTTTGTTGTTTTTTTTTTTTGTTTGTTGTTTTGTTGTTTTTGTTTTTTTTTTTTCTTGTTTTTGTTGTTTTGTTTTTTTTTTTGTTTTCTTTGTTTTTTGTGTTTTGTTTTTGTTTTTTGTTTGTTGTTTTTGTTTTTTGTTGTTGTTCTTGTTAGGTTTTTTTGTTGTTGTTTGGTTTAGTTTTTGTTTTTGGTTTGATTGACGTTTCATTTGGTGTATTGTCTGCTTGTGTATTGTCTTTGTTTGGTGTTGTACCAGTTGCCGTTTCTGTGCTGTGAAACAATGATGGGTAAGATAGAGGACAGTGCACACAGGAAGACATGGTATGAAGTTGTAAATAATCGCAGATCGTTGGTGATGTTGGATGTGCGCCTTTGAAGAGCCGATGGCTATGCAATAGGACGCATAGACACCTGGTCAGACCACTAAAATATGCGGGTCTGATCGCAGTGAGCATGGGGTGGTCGTTCGCCGGGCAATGGAACGCGGCTAATTGCGCATTGTCGAACAAACCTCGCTTATGATGAATGCGGAAGGCAAGAGACGACCGGTAAAGTATGGGTACTGTTTCCCGGCATGTGAATGAAAACACTGCGCAAGAGATATTTGTGCTTCGCTACGTGATTAGAACAAAGCGCGGGGTTGCGATGCCCATAGGTATTGTGAGTTGGACCCAAGGCAGTTCGGCATCCGATAAAATGGCACAAGGCCAAACGGAAACAAGTGGTCGTCAAGTGATGCGGTTGAAACACCGCTTCCAAACACTTGTTGGTTAGCATCAATTCTTAGCGGGAAGTCGTGGTGGGGAACAAGCAACTAGCACAGAAACCTGACAAACTTACAAATAATGGAGCCACTAAGACAAAGTTGCAAACCCATGGACGAAAGATATGGTCATATTTTACAGAGTGCATACAGACGGCCCAATATGTAGACGCTTGACGCAGATCCAATCCGAATGTTGCGTTGGCACACAACTGTGCAAATTAACGTTACATCTAATTGGATTCTCCGTTAAAGAGTGATGAGATTGCGCATTTGGCTTGAGCAAGTTGCGTCATGATTGTGGATTCAACTTTCAAAGCAGTGAGGTCACAAAATACATTGCAGGGCATCCGATCAGATAACAGAGTATAGGGAACTGAGCGCAATATCGAAAGGCTATTTAAAAATGGACCATGTAAGTGCATACACGAATGAATTTGAAAAGTTGCTTCTAGGCTAGCTAACCTGGAGGGAGAAATAACGTGGTGGCCAGACAAAGTGACTGCAATATTTACTGTAAGCGACAATTCGCTTTGAAGGGCCTTGAGCC